TAAACAGGAGAAATATTATTTTGACACTTTATTTATAGATTCTATATCTGTTATTGATATATAAAAGAAGAAAAGGAGGGGAAATAGTAAGCAAGCGACCCACTCCACATTCAGGCTTACTAGCTCACTGTAGTTAGTCCCTGGAACAATGGATTTTGAGTTCTGCTTTGACTTAGTGATTTATTTAAGTTGCTTGGTCACTTAGAGAGGATTGGATTAGAATATTAACTGTATTTTGGGTTTTGGATTGATTTGGGTTCCAAACTATAAGGGTTTCAGCATCAGAATACAAGTTCTTTGGTTTTGAGAACTGCTAGCCAGCCAAGAAGTGCAGCTAGTCAAGCCTAAGTGCTTGATAGACTTAGTATTTGGGTTTTAGAGTTTATTGGGTTTCAGAATATTCTAAGTTGATTTGGAGCACAATTGTGCATTGGTTCTAAGTCCTAATTATATTTAAATATTGCTATAAACTACTCTCATGAGTATTGCATCTTTGAAAGCAAGATAGAGTTGAATAACTGTCTTTATTGACTGTTTCTTTGATTTTACTTAAGACTGCAAGAGTGCTTCTATCATACTTGAAACAACTGACCTCAACTGTATTTGGTGACTGTGTATTGAGTGGTTAAGTGTTGGTGTTTGAGAGTTCATTTTTCACTCACCTCTCTTAGTCATTTAGCCATTACCAAGCACATCATCAGACTATTTCCAATCCTTGCTAAGATTGACAACTCTGTCTACTATCTCTGATTATCCAATGTCTGATATGTCTACCCTGTCTTCAATGAATCACTTTTAACCTCTTATATCACACCAATCTTCTCTAATCAGATGCAACCTCCACTATCAGAATCCATCCTTATTAAGGAGAAGGAGCACTATAAAGTTGACCAAATTCTCTGTTATCATCTATGCAAAGTGCATGCCTGAGAGGGAGGCTTCCAAATAACTGTCAAATACCTTATCAGCTGGAAGGAATATGGGCCAGAATCCAACCAGTGAGTAAATGAATGCTACATAAATGCTGATGATATTATCTGGAACTATAAACACTCTCTAGAATGATCCATCAGAATGATGGTCTTAAAAGAGGGGTAATATTATGATTTTCTTGCTTTATCTTATCTTATCAGATATCTATCTAATCACAGGCACTTATAGATGAGCATGGGATGATTATGCAACCATAATAAGTAATCCATGCCATTGTTCTACAGACAGTGACAGGCATCTTGACAACAGACAATACTGCATTGTTTTATCTCCAATGACCAGAGGTGACAAGGACTATACTGCAGAAACATACAATTAGTAGGACTATATTTATCTATAGCTGAAACAATATATAAGTAATATAGCTCTCACTGTAGATACTCAGCTTCAAGCTAAAGCTTATTTTATACTATCTTCTCTTAAGCTTAACTTATCTTTGGCCTTGGAGCACTTGCCTGTATAAACATACCAAGTAAACTCTAGTGTGACTGTATGAACTTGATACAGTGCTAGTTTATCACATGTTCAGATCATGTGTACTTTGGGTCTAACAGTCATATCTGTAGTTCTGTGTGATTTCTATTCTTGGTGCATAAGCTCTGTGCTATTGTCAGTGCATTCAGTGTCAAGTACTGAGACTTCTTATGCAATGTGACTCTTTAGTATCATCATGAAGCCAAGTCATATATTCCACCAATCATCACTCAAGCCTATCGTAGCTAGCCTTTCTTTTATTGAACTCTAGCTCTATTTTCCTTCACATGCTTAATAATACTTTTGTACTCAGCATATAATACTGTATTTTGCAAAATTACATGCATAGACATATTCAGAGCATGTCAGCATTAGATTAGTATTGTCTGTCTGGTTCAAGAAAATGTCTGAAGCCCACCTGCATATATGTCAAGAGACTACTTCCCAAAATCCTCTTAGGATGTAGCCTTCTCTTCTTTCTTCCTTTTTTCTGCTATGGCTCTGTCTAATTCCTCCTGTGCTTTGTGGTTGGCCATCTTCTTCTAGTATATCTGGCTTAATTGCTTCCATTCATCATCAGAGAACTTCATTTTGCAAATGTTGTGTGAAGCAGAAGGCTGGCTTCTGCTCAACATGGCATTTGAGACAGATTGGTGAGACTGAGGCTTATATGATTTTATGCAGGCACAAGCTATATGCCTTTTTTCTCTGCAGTTGAAGCACTTTACTTTCTTTAAGAGTATGTCAATGTCTATTGGCTGCCTCTGACCACCATATATAGTACCAGTTTCTGTCTTCTTGTCATCTGTAGTTAATCCTTTCAGAGTCAACCCACCAGTGACAGTTTTTATTTCTGCCTGTGTAGTGGCCTTGATTTCATCATGTCCTGTGGTGTTGACTCAATAATTGTAGTCTATCTACAGGATTCACCTCTTCCACTCATCATAAGAGACAGAGAAGTCATTGTCCCTATGAGTGATCATGTTTCAAAGGTTGAATCATATCATATTCTTAATCTGTTTGAGCATAGCAGCTCAATTGTTTATTTTTCTGCTTGGGTGAGATAGATATATAGATGAGCTGCTTTGTCATCATATTTGAAATTCATCATTGAGCTTGATGAGCTACTTTGTTATTATATTTGAAATTCACTATTAAGCTATAAATATTGGTAAAGTCAGCATCTGTATCAGCTCTTTAAGCTGAAATTTTTTTTTTGCATTTGTCTAAAACCATCCAGTCTTTTATTAGGGATCTGTACTGTATGTGTATTGCATGTCTCTATTAATTAATGTTACAAAGTATTATAATTATGCTTATAATACTTGTTTTTTGTATATAATATTCTTTTAGCCACTACTTCTCTATTATAGCTTAGAAAATAAGACTGATACTATATTGAGCATCTGTAAAATAGTTTCCATCTGGTTGTCATCTTAAATAAGGATAAAAAATAAACAACTTCAATCATTAATTGTTTATATATATATTTATATCAGCACTTTAAAAAGGCTTCCACAGAGTCAACAGAGATGTAATTGCCTAAGATAGAGCACACTTTTGATAATCCCAATTAAATAGAAATAACAATAATAAAAATTGAATTTGCCTTATCTGTTACAGACACTGTCTCTGGAGTTATATTACCTTATATAATAAGGACAAATATATGTAAATACTGTGTATTAATATAACTGGTGCATAACCAGAGTATACCAGTCTTATATCCTATAAGAGACAATATGATAAGAGAAAGACACTGGCAAGAGACTACTAGCCAAGCAATATAGTTATGCTGAACATGAAGAATGTGGAGACAGACAGGAAGATAAAGAAGTTGGATGACAAGTTTGGAGGCCTCTTCAAGGTCATAAAGAAAGTAGGCAATAGAGTATATGAATTAGCTATCCCAAAGATGTGAAAAATCCATCTTGTCTTCAATAAAACTCTTTTTAAACTATTTCAAACAGGAGAGTTCTCTAACCAGAAAGCACTATCACCATTCAAACTGACAGTTATAGATGATAAGATGAATATGAGATTGATGCAATCTTTGATGATAAAATTCATTATTGAAAACAGTGGTTTCTCATTTATTTTAAGAGATATAGTAATGAGGAAAACCACTGATATGCTGAAAAGAATCTTCCACATGCAAAAAGGCTCATTGCAAAGTACTATGCAGTATAGAACCCACTTACTGCAGTGAACAATATCAGGCTTGGATCACTAATGTTCAACAAGTCAGACTACATCAGAACTCAAAAGCTTCCTTTTGAACTCAAACAACACTCATTCAAAGTTAAGAAGCTTTACATATGGAAAGACATCAATGAAATCAAGGCAGGTACACTTATAGTCCAATAATTTCTCTCTGAATTGGATGCATGACATCTCAGTAGAGATCAATAGGAAAGATGAAGCTGTCATCTTGTTTTCAGGGCTCTTCTCAGCAATTGAGGATGATTGCCTTAAAGAGAAGGTAATATCATGATTTTAGCCTCTAAATCATGTCCACTCAAGGCTTGTTTTGAGGCACTGAGACAATGACTTGGTTGAGATTGCAAAGATTTTTCTATACAGTATTTAAGTCAGTAGTTTATAGTGATATACTCTAGTCTTGAGCTAAGGTCAATATACTGATCAAACTCCTAAACTTCTCATTCTCATTCTTCTACTTTACCTTCAGTTGGTGTCAGACTCTGGCTGTGGCAGTGTATTGCATTTGTAATTATTTGATTGTTGTCTTGACAAGTATTTAGAAATAATATATAAGAGCTACTGGTGTAAAGTCAGAATGGAATAGCAGTAGAATCAAAAATATTACATTTCATGTAAGTCTATTAGATAGATAGATATGCAAAATAGTATTAGAATTGTAAATTAGTGTATAGAGTCTAAAGACTCATCAACAAATGCTGATACAGTGTTATTATAATGTATATCTTTTTAATAGAAATTGACTACTTAAATATAAACTATATTTAGAACCTTCATTAATCATGTTTAAGATTTTTTATTGCATCTGAATATTAATGTGATATTTGCAAAATATCTTCTAAGCATTGCAAACACTGTGCTACTCCAAGAGTGTCTCTAACAGTCTCAAACACCTGCATTGCTTGCTCAAGCTTTTTTGTTGCATCTGAATATTGATATGTCATGCACAAAATATCTCCTGAGCTTTGCAAACACTGTGCTACTCTATGAGTGTCTCCAATTTTTTTGAATATTTCTATTGCATCATTATTTTTGCTTTTTGCCATTATCCATTGATTATGTTGTATCAATCTATAAGACTATAACAGTAAAGCTGATGCATATAAATATTTCAGATTCAATGGCTCTATTACTTCCACTAGTTTTAGTAATAAAATATCTGAATCTGAAATTAAATACTGAAAGTAGCAAAAATCATATATAATTGTCAATTCTCTTTCAGCAATAGCATTATCCAGCATATTATTTAACAGCCATTCAATATTTTTCAAATGTGAGACACCAAATTCTGTATTTTCTCTTGAAATCAGTGTCTTCAGTTGTCTATTTGTAATTTCATTTAGATAAAAAGTGCAGAACTACTTCTTTATACATATATCTGACTGTTGAAAATAGATTTTGAGATATTCCTGAATTGATGGCAATAATCTCAATCCTTCTTTATCATCTTCATATATAATTCCAGATTGCAATAAATTTGACACAATTAAAGTAATTTGACCAAGATCTGGTACTATTTTACTCAATAGACTAGTCTATGTAGGAATGCCACTTGGAAAATTACAGATCACACTTAATAACCTCAAAGTATCTGGCTTTGAAGAAATCAATGATGATTCAAGAGTTATCTTGATTGAAATATCAACACTTGTTAATTGATGAGGCTGAGTTCTGGGTTTTGCTAATAATAATGTCTTTTCTTTCTTCCAGCTGTCAACAAGTACTTTTGGAGAAATAGTTTTAGCTTGATGTGCCATTAACATAATAGCCAATGGCCATCCTGCTAGTTGTCCTACTAATTCACTGACTTTTTCCATATCAACATTATGCCCTGAAATAGCATTGAATACATTCAATGAGACAGATTCAGCTAATGGTAACAGACTATTATGTGGAAGTTCTAGCCAATTTATATCTGTAGGAGGAACTTGTCCTCTCATAGTAATTATCAGCATAATCTGTGGCACAGAATCCAACTGTTCCAAAAGTCTCTGAACATCATATTGATCTTTACTATTCTCCCAAAGTGTTTCAAAATTATCCAAAACCAAAATTGTTGGCTTTGATATAGTATGCAGTTGTTTTACTGCATCATCGGTTAATTGCAACTTCATCAACTTTGACATAGTCTGCAGCAATGCCTCAACAGTAGGCTCAGTACTGCAGACAATATCACAAGGAATGAAGTATCTATGAGCTCCATATTTAGCTTGCACAGCTACATCATTCAGCAACTTCAATGCTAAAGATGTTTTGCCCATACCTCCAAATCCCATAATGATAATAGAATCAGGAGAATCAGCAAGAAGATTGGTTATCCCTTCTTGCACTAACTCATTTCTACCCTCAAATATCAATGGAGGAGGTGGAGGAATAGCAGACACCATAATACTACTAATCAGTTGACTATTATGAGACCTATTATATCTTAAAAATATACAGAGACATACCTGATAGGCTGAACCATTTTAGGACTCAACTATGATAGTATTAGTATACATTGATGTAGCTGTGATAAGAATATTCACCAGATGATTATGAATAGCAGTAATCTGTTTGGTAGCTGAAAATACAGCACTCCCCTTCAGAAATATCAGTATCCTTCTCAATCGTTGCAGGATAAAAGCATACAACAAGCTTATCTCGAGCTTCCTTAACATACTCTTTATGCTGGTTAATACGATCTAGAATCGCCTTGCTCTGAAATCGTTTCTTGATCTTCGCCTGGATCCCTCTCTTTCCATAGATCTTGTTCAGATCATCCTTTAAATCTTTGAGGTGACTGGTCATGGCAGAAATTAATCTCCATACTCATACCAAGATCAAACGAAATGACAAACCTGATGAATTCATCACCCATTTGCTGTAGACGTCCCAGCGGGTGCGTGGAGGCTGTTTGGTTGTCAGTCAAAGATTGACCATCCTGAAGGAGCTTGATCTCCTCAGACACATAGCTAAGTGTTTCATCGAGATACTTGATAGTATCCTTTAGATCATCATGTGCTTTCTTATTATTCTGAACAATGTGCGCCTTTTAGTATGCAATATTGGCAAAGGACGATAGATTCGCACCTGAGCCAGCTCCAGGATCGGGAGGGCAATATTCGCAATTGCTTTTGCAATCCCTGTGCGATCCAGTTCACCTGCACCTGCAAGCACCTTGATATGAATCTGATGGAGGCGTGCGAGTTTCTCCACGCTCATAGCTTTCTACCACCACCATCATTTATCTGACACTGTATGAAGCCGCTGTAGCCGCCGGGTGCCATCTTGTTCTTTTTCCGACAAAGATGCCGCTTGTATTGCCCAAATCGTGGACCGGTCCTTTGGAGGAGTTTGCTGGAAGCAGAGGCGATGAAGAGGGTAGCAGGACACGACCCATTATTTGTGGATACGTGCTGTATCATCGGTGATCGTTCGTTGTGAAGAACGAATATGTATCGTGCATCCTTCTTTCTTGCTTTCCTTGCTTTGCGTTCTCATACTGTGACAGCGGCAATTTCGTTTCCATTGTACGAACCCTCAAGGTGCTGTTGCTGAGGCGTTCATAGCTTTGCCTATCACCCCTTGCAACAGGTAATACATGTATGTTTCTCTAATGGCCGCGGAGTAGTCTACCTGGCTTTCTTCGGCGGTAACAACGACAGATGGCAGCACTTTTCCTCTTGCCGATCGCCCCACGATCTACCCACGAATGTATGAGCCCATTCCCACTCTGCCTATCAGCCGCACCCAGTCGCATGATCCGCTGCTACTCCTCCTGGTTTCCTGCATCACAGACCATCATGACGAGCGCGTTCGCCCATTGTCGGCCTCAGAGTACAGTGGGCAGACGTTATCTGAATGGAAAAGACGGATTGGCATGTAAATCGAGAGACAACGTGCGGCTTTCCTTCAGCCAATGTGCTCTTTTGGGCGACAGCGACATATCGTACAACTGAGATGTTTGTCGCGATTTCCGTGCCGTGATGCTTGAATTCATGTAAGCTTCCTACTTTTACCTAGTCGATTTCACACTGAAGACTGTCTGAATAGGTATATTCCTATGATACCCGTGTTCACAAATGTGAGCCCTAGTAACGACGTATCGCGGTCTCTTGCCATCCTTCCTCAGCCCTCGAACACGTCTGCGTATCACGTATCTGTAAGCAGTGCCAGTGCCAGCCTCATGCCCTCGAGTGAGGAGCTTCAGCTTACCGGGATCACAACCAACACTTTTCACACTTTTCTCGCCTCTCCGATGTTGTGAAGAGATAAGGTCATCGATCCAGCCAAGGATTTGCCGTGGAGCTAAGAGAAGATTCCTGCCTTGTTGTAAAGAGACATACGGTGCGTATCTTGCCGTTTTGACTTCCATGTCTCGATCTAAGATGTCAGGCCCACAAGGACAGCGACGAACGTCAGTAAGAAAAACAGAGCTTTCAACCCATCGTCATCCTGGCCCCACGATCACTCATAGCAGTTCCCTGATTCACAAACATCCCCCGAATAGAGGACAGCTTCTAGCTTCTGAGGGCCATCGTTACTGATTTGCTCAGGTAACCATCGAATACATACTCGAACGGTATAGAACCCCTTCGCTCTAACGCGCCCTTTCCTACCAACATTGATTCTATCTATCGTCGGAAAGGTAAGCACAGCGCTTCATGGCCTTCGCGACATCCCCCAAGGCGCTACAAAGCTCCCCATGCAACCTACGTGCTTCGCTTTGCCCATCATGATCCACTCGTCCACCATAGCTCTGTGCCTTGTACTTGCATTCCGTGCCTCGATCCACCGCTGAATCAACAGAGGTCGTCTACTGTGATCCAATTATGATGTCCAAGGAAAGCATATCTTACCAGATTTGATCGATGACCGACAGACCTCCTTTGGCAACATCGCCGTTAACAGCTTCATCCGACTGTTTGGTACATGGACTTGCCCGTCGTGTTTACGGTTCTATGTCCCTCTAGCCCCAACGCAGATGCAAATGCTGATCTCCGCTATCTCTATCTACCAGAGAATCACTGTTCGCTAATCATCGTTTCTTCGGTGTGAGAACCGCTTGCGGGGATGACAGTGAGTGTCGTTCAGGCGGGAGAGACGTGGGTCATTGACCTGTCAGCAATGCTCGTACTATATTCATGACCGTGGATTAGCACCGGTACATGCTGGCGTAGTTCCACTAACGACATGAGGCTAAACTCTGGTCTTTGGGTCGTTGGCCTTGATGCTCGAGGACGGGCTCGCTGACGGCATTCCGGTCTGGCGTCGGTTCGGCGTGCTCGAGTGCCACCATTGATGTCGTTGACTATGCGTTTGCTGGTTGTTGTATCCCTAGCTGGGAGAAATGATCATGAGGAAGGCATAAAACAGATGTATTCTTACCTCGTACAAGCGGACGTAAAGCGAGATGAAGGAGGACTTTGTGCATTCTCACGCCACGCTTCTTCTTCAACAACCTTCATGATACCGATGCCCCCCTCAGCACCAGACACGATTGCAAGGATTGACCAGTTGGATAACGACAACCTGACTGGCGTCAGCAGATGGCTGGTTTCTTTGAGTAAGTGCAGTCCAGTTTGTGTATATTCATGTTGCACCCATACATGGCTGACCCTCAGCGAGGAATGTTTACTTGGAAGAAGTTACTCCCTTTTACTATGACGAGCGATATGCAGGAGGGCGACTATTAGCTTCGAATCTTAGTGCGTCGTGGTTGTCAGCATCCTCACCTCTTTCTCATGAATAGCAATAGAATCGCTGTTCCATCCAGCAGCGCTACAACTGGACGACAGCGGGATTTCCAGCAGGTCAAGCTCAATGCGATTATCAATGTCTCTCTCGCTATAGAGGCACCTTTCTTTACCTGTCGTTACACATTCAGCAGCTGGTCATCCGTTTTGGTCCAGTCTGCCAGCCTCTTTTCAGATATACAGTTACTTTTCACCGCATCAAGACCTGCCCACCATGTTGACGAAAATCTGCATCCGTCACCATAAACGCGTATCTCAGTCTCCACCAACTCCGACTCTGTACTTGTTTGCCCCTCGTTGCACCACCATCCGAGCCCACGGTGCTACACGGATCTCTGAGGTGACAGTCCAGTGTGTCTGACGCATCGCCTACACCTAGACCCCGTGGGCCCTTCCAGGCCTGCATGCACACGTTAGGCTTCATAAAGACCTGGTCAGTACCTCCACCCTACTCCGTGTTGGTGTCTTGGCAGTATCTCTAGCGACGTCCACCATATCGCTCTCCACGGCGGGCACGGCGGGGAAGCGAGTCGCTTCTTTCTTGCATATGCTCTTCCGCGCCTTTCCAGAAATTCGAGCTCTTGAACTTACTCGTACACGTCATTTCCAAATACCTGCCGTCTTCTGGCAGCCTTCCAGAAGATCATATCCTCAGTTTTCTCCCTCCTATCAACCTTCTGCACTTCTTAAGCTCCCAGAGGACGTCAAAAGGGGACGCCGAAGTCGAAGACCAGGTACAAGGAAAGTTGTAGTCTTCCTGACGGTCTGTACTTGAGGAAAAGAAGAACCGTGTTTGCAAATGCAAGTTTGTGCTCAGCGATGAATCCGAATAGATCGTCGGCGGCGGCTGGGTGGTGTCTCTCGGGATTCCCTCACAAGCCACTCTCGGTGGATTTCTCGAACGTGGTCACTTGGAATCGAGGCTTCTCCCTGCCTCCCAATAACATCGATAGCACTCCGCTTACGACCCATAAACAAGGGAGGCAGCAGAGACGAATATGTCATACTTTCGGTGTCGACTCACTGGTGAGTCAGAATATGAGCATCTGGATAGATGGAGACTCATGAGGCTTTAGCAGATTTCTTCGACGGCTGTGCGGCGAAGTGCACGAGGGCTCGAACAGACAGAAGTGTCGGTATGCTGGTGCAAGACGTTGCGTCGGAGATCACTTTACTTGGCTGCGGCATCGCTCTCTTCACCCTGTGACCCTCCCAGTGCGTTTTAATCCTCTCGTAGTGGAGTATTCTGCCTCTAATCGCCATAGTATTTTTAAGGTTTGGAGGAAACGCCGTCGATGGAGATGAGACCTCGGTTTTCTCACATGCAGCATCAAAGAGGAGGGTATGCGAGTTGTGGGTCCGTCGCCGCTATGAGTATCACATATTCAGAGAGGTGAGAGGCAAACACACAGCCACTTTGGCACCTGCGTCCTTCAACTTCATCTCCGGTCCTCCGCAACCAGCTCTGTCACCCTGGGCCCGGGGCAAGACCAACAAGAAGGAAAGTTCTCGACTTTCTCACGACGTGAAGGCCTGATGGGAAATGAAGTAATGAAGTATCGATCCGTCATCGGTGAATTCCCTTGCTCTTTTACAACTACGTTTCTCATCAGCATTCTCCAGGCGTTCACCTGTTTGTTCTTTGACTTTGAAACTTCCTCTGGTCGAGGTAATTTCCATCCAGGCACGAAGCAAAACCGGTCACCCTAGCTGTGGGGCCGAAATCCTGAGTGCGTGCTTTGACCTTGATGAGATCGGGCTGGATCATCACTACATGGCCTTGATGTGACCGAGCGATTTTCTGACGTCCATACTGCCTTTTGGTCCTGTTAGAATACCCTTTTACTCTGGGGTGTTCTGTACTTATCTTTTCTCACAGCAGCCGTACTACCGACATTTCAGCGCCATGTGATGAACACGTTTGTTCTCCTAAGAAGAGTCACATCAATCGTTTGACCCTTTCAGCTGATCTTGCTGAATCATCGTTGCATCGAACGCACCAGTCTTTCAATATCTATGTCCGGTAAGTGGTACTGCACACTCCGTTTTCTTTGCTAACAAACATTCAGAGCCCAAAACGCCGATGCATCCATCTCTTTCGGGGCCGCCTGAGTCATCTTTCCGGATTCGTGGTATTCTTTGAGGTTACCTTAGCGTGAACGTATGTCATAACATGTCCAACTATTAGTATGGCACTGAACGTACCTATAGTTATAACCTGGCTGTTACAGCGCGAGCCGGACGATCGGCCTACGGCATGGAAATTATCCCAAAGTCCGTTATTGCCTTCGAGACTTGAAGACGAATACTTCAAGGGTGCACTGAAGATGATAAGTAAGTGTCTGCAGTTCTTCTGCTGCCATTCCTCTCATTGATTGCATTTGATCCGGCAGCAAAGCCAGACTCTCCGTATCACCAAGCCGTCCTAGCTTCCTTGTTTAAGCAACCTCCTCGACCGGTCCGAAGCTTTCTATACGATCATAAAGCTGATCTACCAGAACATGCCTCGCTGAACGGGATGGTTCAAAATTATCTCACTGCAGTATTTAGGCTACGCGGGGCGGTTGATATGGAACCTCAGTTGTTGATGTCGATTACATCGACGGGGGATAATAAAGACCACGCAGTCTTTATTAACCGATGCGGAGATATTGTGAAGTTACCATCTAGTCTTCTTGTTACGTTTGCAAGGCTTGTGGCTCGCGGAGGTATCACAAGGATCAAACGCTTCCATAATGCCGATGTGTATCGCCTTCAGTATGCCTGTCGTTGTAGGCATCAACATTAATACTCATGTTTTCTTGTAGAGCTGTAGCTGGTCATCCAAGACCTCATAAAGCCGCTGCATTCGACATCATTACGCTTGTTCTGACATCAGGACCGGTGGCTGCAGGAGCTGAAATCCTTGCTGTTGCAGATAATTTCCTTGACACTTTCCCTGATCTTGCCCAGATGTATGAGATTCATGTTTCTTATCTGAGCTGTGTGTTTTCCTGAGACCTGCACCCTTGCTTATCTCTAATCGTGATTTTAGTGGTCGACGCGGTCTTGGGTCGCTTACCTGCTGAGCATAAGAGCGCGATTGTTGAAATCCTCAATCAGCCAAAGTCATCGTCGTTTCAGAAGAGGTCACTGTTCTTGAAGAAGGGACTTCTGAGAAACACTGCCGATGAGCTGGAAGTTCTCAACGATACGTGTTAGTCCCTTCAAGATATACTTTTATATTCTCTGACGAGACCAACAGACGAGGATGTGGAACCGCTTCTTCATGAAACTTGATAAGCTCTCGTCGCCTCCCCTGGATATGATACGGCCAGCAATCGAAGAAATCAAGACTGCTGTGAAGACTGCTTCTCTCGCCACTCTTGCCGCGAGACGTCCAGCAACGTGTGTCTGCCCATCAGCTACCGATGGCCGTAAGATCGCGATATCCCTATTAAAGTGCATACACGAGAAGCAGAAGAAGATACAAAGAGGATCATGAAGGAGATCGTGCCCAAGGACCACCGAATACGTCTACCTTCCCTGTATCCATTCATACGAACATCTGCATCCAGGTCCATATTCACTACTTCACCGCCACTTTCGGCCTCCGCCTCCGCCTCCTCGACCACTTTCCGAACCTCCACATCGGCATGACAGGTGTCGTCTGCTACGCATCAAACTCCAACACTGCCGAGCTTCTCAAGCAGATGGCGGCCACCGATAACAAGCGGATCCTGCTAGAGACTGGCGCGCCGTTTATGGTCCCGGCCAACGTGTACGGCGCACTGGAGCCCAAGCAGTCGAGGTTGCCGTTCTCCCACTCGCTGATGATACCCTGGACGGCAGAGTTTGCGGCAGACGTTATGGGTGAGGGGTGGGGGTGGGATAAGGAGCGGGTGTTAAATGTGTCGAGGGAGGGCGCTAGGATGGTATATGGAATGTAAGGTAAGGGATTATCATCAAGCATACATCTATGCCAGGAACTAATCCGAACAAGACAAGGTCCGACGTGGAGGACGGGAAGAAAAAAATGTCATTGGGCGCGATATAATACATTTAGACTCGAAGCTCATCCAAAGGTCTGCCTCTCGTTACAACAAGGCCGCCAGTTGCCGCCTAAGGTTGATCGAAACAGATCCACAGACCACCTGACCAACTGAAATGTATTAATTCTAGTGATAGGTGGACAGACTGCAATGATTCGATCTATGGACATTGACAGGCACATTGAACGGAGAGTTCGGAGGAAAAGGAAGGGCAGAAGGACGAGTAGTGATCGCATAGGAATTGAAATACTTCTGGGCTTCACTTTAAACTTGCATCATTGTTGTATGTCTAGAGCAAATGCTAACGCTAATACTATCAATGTAAAAGGTCGGCATTAGACGATTTTTTTCCATTACTCATCCGTGCACGTAGATCCCGCCAAACACATCTCCATCGCGCCTACTCAAAAAGACATCCACCCTGACTTCAAGTCCTGAGCTTGCTCGCGTCTTGGAGGATGACAGTGACATTGAAGAGGCGCACTGCTCGATTGGGAGACGAGAGACCACGCCGATTCCAGATGTTTCTGTGAATGCCGGAGGTCAGTACCTCGCTTTCGTCCCTGTGCACGAGGTACGAACATATTTTTCGTTTCATTCCTTCCTCCGAGTCATGACCGTGGTCCTTAGGAGCAAAGAACGGGAAAACGCATCGTCTACAATAAAGTGCTCACACCAGACCAGGACTCGCTCAGCGAGCCAGTCCTCGACCTTATCCGTGGGTACATCAAGGATCTAAGCGCCGATGGGAACCTCGAGTTCATTTTGATGGCTTTGGTAGAGGACAATTCTATGCCAGAGCGTATTGGTACTGATGTATGTTATAGTACTATTATGTTTCAGATCAATTGCGAGCCCACTGATAAAGTCGATATCATAAACGCTTGGGTCCTGCACATGCTGAAGGCAAAGTTGCCACCGTTGCCACGGAAATTCTGCAACAGTAAGTATATGAGAATGCAGAGCGGGGAAAACAAGAAAGAAGGACGTACGATTCTATGCAGTCAAGGATAATCGCCGGGATAAGAACATATCCGGACAGAATCGCTTGCATTCGACTATGCTTTCTATCGCTAATGGCTTCTGCGAAACCAGAAACCCATGAATCCGTCTTTGGATAGCGGCCGTGACCTCGCATTCCACGATAATCGACACGCATACGCATCCTCTCTCTATGTTTGCTTTGTACCGGTCAAAGTACCCTGATGGGCAGTATGAGACGGTGTTTGACTTTGTCAAAGGTGCGTATGTGGGTAAGGGGATGGAGACGATAGTAGACGTGTGGCGCGAGCCGGAGGTGTTCATGCGAGGGACATGGAAGGAGCTGGCAGATGGGAAATGGGAGGGCATCAAGTATCGATTCGTTAACGGTACGTACCATTGCCCTTTCCCGTCCTGTTTCTCATCGGCCACCTCCAGGCGTTCACCCGTACGTCCTGCGACTTCCACCTTGGCTCTCTTCGCGGTAATTTTCATCCAGACATGAAGCAAAATCGTTTACCCTTATTGTGGAGTCGGAGATTCTCACTGTGCTGTCACATCCGTCGTGTGTTGGCCTTGGTAAGATCGGGTTGGATTACCACTACACACGTTCTTGCTGCCAGACGTCCAGCAACAGTGTTCGCCCATCAGCTACGGGTAGTCATTGATCGCGGTATCCCGATTACAGTTCAATCAAAAACGGCAGGACATATATTAAACCACTAATGGCCATAGACTTTGTAGGGAGGCAGGCATCTCCATTCCTTTCACCACCGAGATCCCATTTCTTACCGAACTCATAGTCTAGACCCACTAATTCGTCCATCAACACTCGTCGTTGGAATTGAAAGGAACCGCGGTTGTTCATGTGTGCTTCGGCCTCAGAATTGGCGTCTCTAAACGTGTGTGCTTTACGGGCATCCTTCAGCACTGTTGCAAGCCCTAGATTACATTGACATCACCTACGACTCGTTCGTAGTGTTTACTGCATGGTCACCGAAATGCCTCGCCAACTATGCCTATTGGGCGTGTCAGCAATCGATCACCGTGGACTGCCCCAAAGGCCACTGCAGTTTACTCGACAGCTTGGCCCTAAGGGTATCCGCCTTCGACCACGATGTACTGAAGTACAAGCTACGCCATGTTGAATTCAGCCAGAGGTGAGAGGGAGGGGGAAATTTTTTCGCTTGGTCCTTGATCTAGTCCATAGGTTGGTGGGTTGGCTGGAGGAGATGCTTTTCCAAAGGTCTGCCTCGCAACTCGGAAACATGTGGTGTCTGCCTAAAGATTGGCATGTTCTTGCTAGGTACATATTCCCGCTGTCGCGTTTTCGAGAATCCATCAGATTGCAATAGAGATGCTGTCTATGACGGTACCTAGGTATGCATAGGAGGTTCGTTGACATGGCAGTGTTCGATCTTCTGATGAAGATGTGATTCGGGGAGATCGAACGTGACAGGTTTACCAGATTGGAACAAGTGGCGAACTAAACCAGTATTGTTTATGTCGAAGCAGTTCTGTGGCCCCTACACGCAACTGTAGGTCGTTTATTGGAGCACATTTCTAATATCAGGACGTGCACAATGTACCAAAACTACAACGAAATAAGCGTGCAAGATGCATGATTACTTCCCACATCGCTGAGTGAATATCTAGGCTGTATCATGTATCAGTACACAGACGCGCTAGAGTTGTCATCATTGGGGATCCATCGAGGGCCACATCATACTACTCGCCTCACCCTGAACAGAACCTTCGGGCTCGCTTCACCAATGACTTTCGGTCTAGACAAAACAATTCCCGTATGCTTGTCAATATGACGAAGAGCGTGGTCTAAAGAACCAGATCTTTATCAGACAAAAAAAGTGTGCTCCCTCAAGAATTTTTTTGCTTGCCCTGAAAGCAAATATCTTTCCCAGATATGTCTTAGGTCCATCTACGAACGTCAAGAGGTGTCGATGGCCCTGGATCTCCTTCGCTCTCGGTGCGCAGTCACCTCTCTGGTCTGAACACTTTCACATCAGGGCCCCAGAACTGCTCGCATATGTTCAGTGTCTGAATGGGGGCTGTGGGGATGTTCCTTTGGCTAGTCTCTCATAGACAGACGGCGGTATACCTTTTTGGTGGGATGAGGATGGTATATGTAGTCTGTTGGTCTGTACGCCAAAACACCAGGACATATGCTTCCGATGAGGTGCCTCAGGAATGATTGAGCTGCTGCGGAAGAAATCGAGCGGGATTGAAGTCAGGCGACGGTGGCTTGAAGCACCTGCAGTTGTATGTCGTCCCTCAAGGGTATATTCTATGCCAAGCATGGAAATCAGAACGAAGCTCGCGTACCACGTCTGGCTCCGAGTCGTTACTTTCCTACGGCCGCACGAGCTTGTAAGGTGCCGATCGCTTGTCCTCGATCGATAGCAAGTGTATGGATGTTGCACGAGTTTGTGGTGACTACTCGTCATTTCTGTGTCTAGGGGATGATTGAACACGGGAGATGGAATTCGCCATCAAACGGAATCATCTGATAGTGACGATATTTCGACGAGTTAATTAATGATCTCGGTATTATTATGCAGCACCGCGAAGTGTTGAGATCATAGGATGGGAAGTCCCGTGAGCAAGGTCGTTACCATGTCCGGCCTTTGGGAAAGGAGCAGGAGAAGAGTCTTCGGGAACAATGGTGACGAAAGCAGCAGATCTAGGTTTGCTGGAGAAAAAAAAAATAACGACTGAGAGACTTTGATGAATCCTTGGCACCGCATTGGACGATTACGATGGGGCCTTGTTGGGACCTGTATAAGTAATATACTCAGTTCAGGGACGGGATTTTCGTGAAAGACAATGAATGGTTACCGTGTGGATTCTATGTATATCTGGAAGCAGGCGAATCAATCTGCGTTAGCCTCTTGACGATAGAGGGGTGAGAGAACGCTGGGCGTAGGAGATTGATCATCTGACAATCTCTCAGGCGGATAAGACTGGTTGAATTGAGATGGAACGGGCTAGATTTTGAATCAGTCCTTCGCTATTCAGAATGTTGCGCAGTACTAGTCGGTACCTGACGGGTTATCGGTTCAATATATGTCGGCCGGTTATCCTTAGAAACTGGAGGGAATTGAACTCGCCAGCGTGCTGCTGGAGGAAGATTGTTAGGGATGGCAGGCAAGTGCTGTATGTAAATGCAACGTACACATTATGTAGTCGATTCAGACGGAGACCCACATAAATGGGCAAACTTGAAACCGTTCCGTACTTTTCTCGTCGCGACGTAGGGACATATCCGTGTCCATCAGACGTGGATAGATCCCTGGATTCGGCTACCTGGGTGGTGATATCAGAAATGCTAAGTCGCGCCACCAATCCCTTTTTTCGGTGCTTCGGTGCCGCCTATTCTTGTAGGCTTCTTGATCCGGGCCTCGTTGCTGTACAGCCCAAAAGTTCATTAACGTACGATTCATAGATGGGAGGAAGGAAGAAAATTCATTGGGAAAATTAAAATCCAAAACGGAAATCTCGGTCGTTGTGGTTGCCACAGGAGGGAGATACGCCGACCGTCAATGCAGGGAAGCGGTCGGGAAGCGACCCAAACGGGCTAGAGTCCCAAAACGGTAAAAGTGGTGTCGCGCCAGATTTGGGCAGGCACGCTTGATTTTCTTGGGCTTTGTCCTTCCTTTCCTTCTTACTTCCATGACCGTACAGTGATTCTCTCTTATATCTCGTGCATATCCTCTCTCCCAGCGATGGCCGCCGTAGCATCCTGCTCTTCCAACCTCTTGGCTGCCCCTATACCTGGGCGCGTCGTACGCTTCGACAACGAATGCATTCTCATACCAGAATGTCGCTCCAAGAGGCCTATTGTGTCGATGAAGTCGTACGCTATACCTCTTTGGAAACGGAAATCACCAAGCCCTAGTCCCCAAGACGAGAAGGAGAGGGTTACAGAGATCATTGTTGACAGTGACCCACCAGAGGAGAAGGAGCACGTCATTTTCAAGGTCTCCGTCCCTAGGTACGCTTCCCTACTCAAGCGTTGACTCAATCTCACTCAATTTTAGCTTCAAGCCACGTCAAAGCCGCGGACGATTACACACAGCGGAACCTCTTACCCCATGTCTCGTGGACCGTTCGACGGCGGCCAGCCAATCCCAGCCTTCGCCTTCCCCCTTCCCTGTACCCCACTCGCGAACCCTCGTGCGGTCCCCTTCCCTACCCATCCCACCGGCGAAACACATCATCACCGTACCTCTGCGCGCCTGCTGTCCCAACTGCTACCCCATAACCGAGAAATCCCTTCGTGAGGGCGACAACTGGGAGACGAAATTCTCCACCGGTGCACGGAGACGGCGAAGCACCAGTCTTGACGGTATCACCGCCCCATTCAACCTTGCCGATGTCGAAGAAGCTTTGTTCCGCGTTAACGTAACCGTCGACGAGGTGGACACGTTGAAGCAGAGACGGTCGCAGGAGATTACTCCCGAGCCTGTTCCTATCGAGGTGGAGGATGATGAAGACCAGCTGTTTCCTCTCCCTCTGCCGCGTCGTTTGCCCGGTGATTCCCCCATCCCGAGTCCGAAGACGTGTTTGGACTTGACATCGAAGAATGATTCTGAAGAGAGTATCATTGGGAAGAGCATCTCGCGAAGGAATCGTTGTGAGAAAAGCTCGTTGATACCCGAGGCCGCATACCCATCGAGAGAGTGCTCGAGTTCAAGCTCCAGCTCGCAGCAGACTCACGAAAGGCCATCTCCGTCGTCGTCACCGTCTTCTTCATCTGCTTCTTCCAAACATCGACGGCTAATGTCAGATACCGTGATGTTCAGTTCTTCCCCTTGGATGCCACCCCGCTTGGCAGCACCTACTTTGAGACCGACGCCGAAGCGTAGTTGGTCTGCGGTATTCAAAGGTGTCGTTGCGATGTCTTGACATTCCCCCTTCATTTTTTACGATACCCATTTCTACTGTACCTGGTTGTCACGTAATCTTTGTTGTCTATTCGTTGTCATCTGTCTATCATTTTCTTTTTGATTCCGGCGTACATACACACACACATCTGTAGCCTAGCGTAGCATCGAACATTCATATATCCACAATAACATAGCAATATTCTCTTGGGACATCAGATATATTCTCTCAAGATCAGGCGAGTTGGAATGAAGAACTGCGGCTTCTTTCGAGTAGAAGCTCCTCGCTGAAAGATGGCCGCTCTGATGTAGTTAAGAGTGAAAACTAGTCGACCGTGTCTATATGAATCATGAATCACAAACAGGAGACTGCACATACAGTACTCGAAGAAACTATTGACGCCATCGTCGCCTATCCAAATGAAGGTCGTTGAAGAGGAAAAAGCGTGACGTGATCTCGGGCCATTCTTCCGGACTCGACATCTCGCTTTACGTTGCTCACACGAATATGTATGTCTTTTAAATCTCTTCCTCGGTCAATCACCACTGCCGCTTCTCCTACATGTGCACGTCGGTGTTGTTTTGGCTTGACGAAGATGGAGATGTCCGACAATCAATCCAGCTCCGTGTCCGTGTCCGTGTCCGTGTCCCTGCTCCATCATGATGGGTATGGCGAGGAGGAGGAGTGTTTCTGTTACTATCCCTGGCTAGCATGGAAAGTGAATGTCAATTTGGAAATGAGAGAAATTGTGGAAGGATGCGTTGTGTGTTCTGTGTGGCGGAAATGGGTTACAGTTCGCCTGAGCCCCATCTACGACTAGGATGTTAGAACTGTGCGACAATTCTTGAATTCGTTTGGTCTCTCGTTGTTGCCAAGCTCCTCGGTGCGTAATCATATCTCGGGGTGTAAATAGCGTCTGATTCGTGCACGTTTCATAAGTTGGAGACACCACTGCCGCTTGCGCTGGCAAGAGCCATCTTTCTATTGCCACACTGAACGACTTGATCCCCGCTACATCAATATGTGTCCCTCATGGACATGAATAATACCTCTGGCCACCAGAGAAGTGCACGATTCCCGAACCGTGTTCCCAATCTCCTTCGCATCTTTCTTCGACCGTGCTTCCACCACGATGTCTACGCGCGTTAATGCGCCCATTCGCGCATGTTCTAGTACTTTACCCAGTGTGCGCCACGATTCTGTGTCCGAGAACACGTTAACAGCACTACGATGCTGCGCTATCAGCTTTATATGCTGGATCTTCGACGTTTCCTCCCTTCCAAGTGCTCCGACCCACCACCGCATCACCTTGGGGAAAGAATCCGATGACAGCGTTACCGACAATGTCTTTAAATGGTGCACATCCAACGGCTGGCATCGATGGACTTTGATACCGGTTAAAACGACCTCGGAACAAAGGATATCAAGAGCTTACCATGATCCACCGGCAATACGCAATCTTCAATCTCCAAATCCTCCAGCGAGTCTCTCGAAAGATCTACCAATGCCCTGACCAGCTCCATCTGTACCCTGTAGCACCTCTTCACCCTCAGCCTCTTCAACTTCCCAAACGACATAACCCACGGACTCGCCATCAGCAGCTCAATGACTCTTGCGCTTCCTTCCATCTTCACCTCCAGCTCCTCGATCTCCAGCGGGACCATCATCTTCCCCGGAAGCACCACCGGACATGGCGGTGCCATAATCACACCCAACGCCAACTTCCTCAACCCCCGGAATGTCGCCAAAATACCCAAGAGCCCCGGGAGGCTGTCAAATTGCACATAATCCAGACGGAGGGATGTTATCTGGGGTGCTATGGCAGCCAGTGTGTGCTCGAACGACGGTACGAACTGGCATACGCGCGAGGGGTTCCTCCACCGGAGGGCGCGTATGTCTAGGGATGTTAGGTTCGGCAGCGACGCGAGGATAGCGGGCAGGGCAGGGTCATGTGCGACCCACTGTTTATCATGTGCCGTCTTCCATAAGAGCTCATCAATGAGATCGTTCATCACCCTCTCATCATCATCATCCTTATCATGGAACCCACACTCTGCCTCGATCCTGACGGACCTGACCAATGGACCGGCACACGGGAGGAGCGGGAGGAACTGTTTCCCCGAGTTGGGGCGGGAGGGGTGCCCGATGGTTACCTTGCTGAAGAGGTGTGTGTGTGAGCGGGGCAAGAAAGCTTTGGAGACGAGAGAGCAGGAGGCGAGCGTGGGGGGGTCGTGTGCGAGGTGGTCGATGATGAGGTCGGTTAGTTCCGGGGGGACGTGCATGGTCATTCGGATAGGTAATTGTGCCCGTGCGAAGACTCAAGGAAGATATACCCTCGGCGTAGCGGACCCTGGGCGCAACCCATTCGCGCTCGTATGATGATTGATCGAGCGCCTAGAGCTTATTGGCTCTGAGAACATTTGGAGTGCCAAGTGCCAAGTGTCCGACCTCAGAGTAGCGGACCCTGGGCGTAACCCATTCGTGCTCGAACAACGATGTCGGAATACCCGTCATCCGTATGATGTGCTTCCTTCCATATGGACGTGTTCGCATGCTTGACCGGTGCAGAGTCTTGATTTCCGTAATCGGAGGTGTTTGAAACTACTCTTAAGTTTGATACGCCGGCCAGATTTCGTTCCCTCTGTGCATTCTTCGTCCGGAACCTAGATTAACCGGTACCCTGGTCTGAGATCGACGATTTTGATTTCAGTGTCGCAGGTACCAATCATTTGGACCGTCAAATCCGACTCGGAGTCGCATTGCTTTCGGGACTCTGGAGTTGTACCCGTTGTTCAGAGCTATGTTGTAAGCAGAGGCGGATCAATGATGTCGAACTGTGGTTGCTGAAAGGTCATTTTTAATAGCAACGTACATTTCATCATTACACCGGACGCAAGGACGCGCCAGAAACCCTTTCCTCATTATCGTCTACTCGATTCCCAAGACGGAACAACCCAAGCCGTTGGAGACCTATCGGAGGGAGACTCGAAATCAATGATCTCCTGGAGACCCACTTCGCGACTGTAACAATTGCCTTTCGACTTTGTATCAGGAAATTAACATTGCTAAGCACAAGGCCGAGATTGGGTTCGTTATGCATACCTGACTCTCGCCAGCATCTCATGTACCAGCGCTTGTGACGATTCGCACCCTAGCTTGGCATGTTCTCGTCCCTCGACCGCAATTCTGCGGAAACGGCATTTTGCAGCGGTAAGATCTCTTTCTATGGTGAACATGCGTTTCGAAAGCAGGGCTTTTCGACGGTCCTTGGTTTTCGCATCAAGGTAATGGAGTAGAGTGAGTGTCATCGTTCTTGGGCTTTTTATCCTTCACCGGTTTCTTACGACCATCATCCAGATACAGCTTGCACTATATATCATTTTTCTTCGGTCCGAATGCCGTTACGCTCAGGCGGTCAAGTACACCAAAGATTTCGCCTTTGCCTTTGGGCTGTGCACTTTCCTACGCACGGCGTCTCGAGGGAAACCCATGGCCGAACCAAAGTCAACCATCAGAGTGTCTTGGTATAAGACCTGCTTCCCAGACTTGAACAGACCCTAGCTAGCCTCATCCCCAGGTCCGCAGGCGGTACCATTCAACTGCTCTTCCCTCCTTCAGGCCTTTTCTCCTAACGTCTTGATGATGTTTTCCGCTACTCTTTTTCTCTTCTCCGCTGTGGCAGTCAGCGCCTTTCCCCTGGGAGAAGACCCGGGGTCCCAAACTACACAGAGTCCGACTCAAACTACCGCCTATGCCATGACTACCGCCTATGCCATGACTACCACTGGTACTGATCCCAGCAGCAGCCAGCCGTATACCACCGCCACCACCACCACGAGTGGGACGTACGATTCTGGGGCTTTGACAAGTTCTGCTGGAGAACTAACCAGCACGTATACCACTATGAGTGAAAGGTACGGTACCGGGACTTCGACGAGTACTGCCGTCGGTACAGACCCGACCACCCCTGTTCCCGTCGAGTCGCTGGATGGTATGCATATCGGAGATGGTAAATGAATAAGTCTCACCCTCGTTCGCTGGCCGGAATGAACCAGATGTCTTTTTAGGCACATGGTATAGTCCAGGTTCGGGCGCCTGTGGACAGAACAACACAGAGGGGGACCCCATAGCGGCAGTATCGTACTTGCTCTTCGACTATTGGCCGTATGTACCTGTTTTACACCAGAGATTTGCTTGATCCACTCAGTACGATGCCGATGGCAGTGGTTCGATGACTAAGAACCCGAATATGTGTGTGTTCCTTGCGTATCGCACAATGCTCATGGGTTTCTGACTTGTAAGCAGAAACCCTATCTGCGGGAAGAAGCTCGTAGCTCACTGTCAGTAGCCCATTTCTCCTACTTAACTCACATCATTTCCCCGGCAACTGCTGACCATTGGTAGACACGGACCCAAACACGCAACAAGAAACCACCACGCAAGAGATCACCATCGTAGACCGCTGTGCGGGTTGCCAGATTCGGTGGAGCCTTGACTTTTCCCCGAGCGTGTTCAGCACGCTCGCTGATCAGACTTTGGGGAGGATCAATATAACGTGGTCTTTTGTGGATGAGATGGGTGGGGAGACGCTAGCGATGCCGAATACAAGTCCTGTTGTTACGAGAGATGAGGGTCGTATGCCCGAGGTTGATTTGAAGAAGAGGCTGAGGAAGGAAGAGGGTCCGTAGTGCAATTGCGATGTTTCTCCGAGTTTTGCGGCTCATGTACTGTGTCGTCGGCACACTTGTATCCTCTTATCATGGTTGAGGGCGAAGCTGCAGATGAAGTTACGCGCACTCGGAGAGAAAGTAGAGGTGACGGAAGAAGACCGTATGATGGAAAATCGTGCCGCACATCAAAGCCATGCGAACGCACTACAGGTAAGCTCGTACAACTATCCTAGTGATGCACACACGTTTCATCCATGACAATACTGAATACGCATGACTGCATAGAATCGTATGTCCTTCGTTCTCATATATTTACTGTTGCAGAATTGCTGCGGCAACGGTGGCAACTTTTCCTTCAGCATGTGCAGGACCCAAGCGTTTATGATATCGATTTTGTCAGTGGGTTCGCACTTGATTCGAAACGTAATAGTACTTTAATGTACATCAGTGCCAATACACTCTGGCATAGAATTGTCCTCTACCAAAGCCATCAAACTGAACTCGAGGTTCCCATCGGCGCTTAGGTCCTTGATGTACCCACGGATAAGGTCGAGGACTGGCTCGCTGAGCGAGTCCTGGTCTGGTGTGAGCACTTTGTCGTAGACGATGCGTTTTCCCGTTCTTTGCTCCTAAGGACCACGGTCATGACTCGGAGGAAGGAATGAAACGAAAAATATGTTCATGCCTCGTGCACAGGGACGAAAGCGAGGTACTGACCTCCGGCATTCACAGAAACATCTGGTATCGGCGTGGTCCCTCGTCTTCCAATCGAGCAATGCGCCTCTTCAATGTCACTGTCATCCTCCAAGACGCGAGCCAGCTCAGGACTTGAAGTCAAGGTGGATGTCTTTTCGAGTAGGTGCGAGAGAGGTGTGTCTGGCAGGATCTACATGCGCGGACGAGTGACGTGGAGGGAATGCAGCATACGACATACGTGCTTCCTCGCGTCACCGTTACAGACAGAATGCAATAGCGCGTACAGCCCACAGGCATGGCGAATTGACTGCGGCACCCAAAACACCCTTGAATCAAAGGGACCTTTTGCTATGCGTTCCAATACTTCTTCGCCTGGTCGTGGCGGCAGGCCGTATGGGCATACAAAAATGAGCGCTAATGCTAGCCGGGGAATGTCAGGGTCTATGTCCCGGGAGAAGACGTCGATGAATTTGAGGCTGTTGTTGACGCCGAGGCGGTGGAGGAGCTCGTTGAATATTTCTGGGTCAAACTCAAGGGGAGGGTAATGCTTCAGTGTGGTTCATCAGTAAAGAATCTCTGTATGATATCCTGGTGGCAAGCAAAGTACTGCCGCGGAATCAGATTTGGAAACGACGTCGTGGGTTCCCATGCCATCTTTCCTCGATCGTCTAACACCGACCTTTTACCTTCGTATCGTTGATGATATTAGCGTCAGCATTTACTCTAGGCATGCGACAATGATGCAAGTTTAAGGCTCAAGTCCACAAGTACGTCAATTCCCATGTATATGTGCGAAACAGTAATATTATAATATCGTCATTTTTTTTGGTTTTGCGATGGCGAAACTAAACATTTTTCTCTGTATGTGACAGTTAGTCCCCCATCACGCAATGGCGACCATCTCTCTGAGAGCTCCTCGTCATCAGATTCTACAGGTTCGGGCCCGAGTACCACTTTTTCTAACATCGAATCTTTGCTCTCCACATCCTTTCTCCTGCTTCATGCAATCACCCTAGCCTATAGCCAGCCGCAGAGGAGGTTCTACCTGGGTGACGATGCGGTGTACTGGTGTGCCGTGCCTTTGGATGAGCTTCAAGACTAAATATATTATATCGCGTCCAATGATATTTTTCTTCCCGTCCTCCACATCAGATCTAGTCCCGTTTAGATTAGTTCCTGGCATAGATATATGCTTGATGATAATCCCTTACCTTCCACCCCATATACCCTCCGAGCACTCTCCCCCGCAAGATCCAATACCCGCTCCGTATCCCACCCGTCACCCATAACGTCCGCTGCAAATGTTGCAGTCCAGGGTATCATCGGCGAATGGGAAAACGGCAACCTCAACTGCTTCGGCTCTAGCACGCCTACACGTTCGCTAAGACCATAAGCACTGTCAGCACCCAGATAGAGAAAAAGACGTACTCGGCGGTCCTTGGGCACCATTTCCTTCCTGATTCTCTATCTTCTTCTGCTTTTCGTGTGTGGACTGTAATAGGAATACCGCGATCCACAGGTATCCGTAGCTGACGGGCGAACACCCGTTGCTGGACGTCTGACGGCGAAAGCGCGTAGTGGTAGTCCAGCCCGATCTCACCAAGGCCAACACAGGATGGATGAGACAACGCATTGAGAATCTCGGACTCCACAGCAGGGGTGAACCACTTTGCTTCATGTCTGGATGGAAGTTACCTCGACGAGAGGCGGTTTCAAAGTCAAAGAACAAACGGCTGAGCGCCTGGAGGATGCTGATGAGAAGCATAGTTGGAAAGAGCAAGGGTACTCGCCGATGACGAATCGACACTTCATTTCTCATCTGCTAGTTTCTTCCATGTTCCTCGCATGAACACTTCCGGATCGCGCTACACATCGATTACCCCTTTGCCAAAGCGAAATCTGTCTTGTTGCCCATCAGGACACTCTGAGCGAAACAAAGCAAACGCAGATAGAAGGTGCGTATGTGTATCAAATATCAATTGGGAGATCGAGGCGTGTTGAGGGAACGCAGAGGTCATGAAGAGGGCAAAAGCTTTTCCTCTTGTTGGTCTTGCCCTGGGCCCAGGGTGACAAAGTTGGTTGCGAAGGACCGGAGATGAAGTTGAAGGACGCACGCACCAATGTAGGCGTGTGTTCGCCTCTCGCCTCTCTGAATATGTGATACTCATAGCAGCGGCGGACCCACAACTCGCATACCATCGTCTTTGACGCCGTGTGTGAGAAAACCGAGGTCTCATCGACATCGATGGCCTTTCCTCCAAACCTCAAACCTACTTCAGCGATTAGAGGCAGAATACACCACGACGAGCGGATCAAAACGCGCTTGGATGCTCACAGGATGAAGAGAGCGATATCGGGACTGAGTACAGCGATTTCTGTTGCAACGCCTTGCACCGACATGTGTACATTTCTTTCTCAGTTCAGGCCCTCGTCGCCTTGGCCGTACAGCCGTCAAAGAAATCCGCTGGAGCCGCAACCGCCACGGAAAACGGTATCGCTAGTGATAATGCCGGACACCAACACGGGGAAGGCGGAAAGACTGACGATACCATATCCGACCCTTCCTGGTCTTCATCAAGCCGAACGTGTGCATGCAGGCCACGGATTCTAAGTGGAAGCGAGCACGGACAGCGACATGTCGGATACACTGAACAGTCGTCTCAGAGATTCGGGTAGCTCCATGGGCTCGAATGGTGTGGTGGAATGGAGATCTGTTCCAATCGAGCACATATCTGAATGGCTACTTGAGCAGGTATACGAACACCCACAGCCATGGACAACACCACAAAATCTTCAGGCATTCTTGATTTCGGATTTCGAGGACATAATGGCCGGAGGTCCAAGGTAGCAATGGTTCAATGCTTTAACGTTTGTTGCTACCCTTCTGAGCCTGATGGAACGACACGTCAGATCCAGACACAGAAGTCAGAATGGCAAGATACGCACCGTATCTCTCTTCATGGCAGAAAAAGAGCATCTTCTTCGTCTCTTGGCTCCACCGTGTATCCCTTACTTGATAGATGGTGGACATCCTCCTAGCTCCATGGACTCGGATGCTGGTGTAGCGAGGAGCAAGACTTGATGCGGAGTTGGTGGGGACTGAGATACGCGTTTATGGTGACGGATGTAGATTTTCGTCAACGTGGTGGGCAGGTCTTGACGCGGCGAAAATTAACTGTATATCTGAAAAGAGGCCAGCATACTCGATCAAAACAGATGACCAGCTGCTGGATGTGTAATGACAGGTAAAGAAAGGTGCCTCTATAGCGGGAAAGACGTTGATAATCGCATTGAGCTTGACCTGCTGGAAATCCCGCTGTCGTCCAGTTGTTGCGCTGCTGGATGGAACAGCGATTCTATTGCTATTCATGGGAAAGAGGTGAGGATGCTGACAACCACGACGCACTAAGATTCGAAGCTAATAGTCGCCCTCCTGCATATCGCTTGTCATAGTAAAAGGGAGTAACTTCTTCCAAGTAAACATTCCTCACTGAGGGTCAGCCATGTATGGATGCAACATGAATATACACAAACTGGACTGCACTTACTCAAAGAAACCAGCCATCTGCTGACACCAGTCAGGTTGTCGTTATCCAACTCATGGATCCTTGCAATCGTGTCTGGTGCTGAGGACGGCATCGGTATCATGAACGTTGTTGAAGAAGAAGCGTGGCGTGAGAATGCATAAAGTCCTCCTTCATCTCGCTTTACGTCGGCTTGTACGAGGTAAGAATACATCTGTTTTATGTCTTCCTCATGATCATTTCTCCCAGCTAGGGATACAACAACCAGCAAACGCATAGTCAACGACATCAATGGTGGCATTCGAGCACGCCGAACCGACGCCAGACCGGAATGCCGTCAGCGAGCCCGTCCTCAAGCATCAAGGCCAACGACCCAAAGACCAGAGTTTAGCCTCATGTCGTTAGTGGAACTACGCCAGCATGTACCGGTGCTAATCCACGGTCATGAATATAGTACAAGCATTGCTGACAGGTCAATGATTCACGTCTCTCCCGCCTGAACGACACTCACTGTCATCCCCGCAAGCGGTTCTCACACCGAAGAAACGATGATTAGCGAACGGTGATTCTCTGGTAGATAGAGATAGCGGAGATCAGCATTTGGATCTGCGTTGGGGCTAGAGGGACATGGAACCGTAAACATGACGGGCAAGTCCATGTACCAAAGAGTCGGATGAAGCTGTTAACGGCGATGTTGCCAAAGGAGGTCTGTCGGTCATCGATCAAATCTGGTAAGATATGCTTTCTTTGGACATCATAATTGGATCACAGTAGACGACCTCTGTTGGTTCAGCGGTGGATCGAGGCACGGAATGCAAGTACAAGGCACAGAGCTATGGTGGACGAGTGGATCATGATGGGCAAAGCGAAGCACGTAGGTTGCATGGGGAGCTTTGTAGCGCCTTGGGGGATGTCGCGAAGGCCATGAAGCGCTGTGCTTACCTTTCCGACGATAGATAGAATCAATGTTGGTAGGAAAGGGCGCGTTAGAGCGAAGGGGTTCTATACCGTTCGAGTATGTATTCGATGGTTACCTGAGCAAATCAGTAACGATGGCCCTCAGAAGCTAGAAGCTGTCCTCTATTCGGGGGATGTTTGTGAATCAGGGAACTGCTATGAGTGATCGTGGGGCCAGGATGACGATGGGTTGAAAGCTCTGTTTTTCTTACTGACGTTCGTCGCTGTCCTTGTGGGCCTGACATCTTAGATCGAGACATGGAAGTCAAAACGGCAAGATACGCACCGTATGTCTCTTTACAACAAGGCAGGAATCTTCTCTTAGCTCCACGGCAAATCCTTGGCTGGATCGATGACCTTATCTCTTCAAAACGTCGGAGAACAAGATAGAACCCGGCGGCTACAGCGGCTTCATACAGTGCCAGATAAATGATGGTGGTGGTAGAAAGCTATGAGCGTGGGGAAACTCGCACGGCTCCATCAGATTCATATCACTCCAACGTGTGTTTCTTCTACTCGTACACTCATCATCGACCGTACAGCACCAACACAAGAATGCAAGCTCCATCCCAGGCCGTCTCTCAGTCTCCAAGTGCAGCGACACCTGTTCGACCTGCAATCCTCGCGCCTCCAAACCTCGCTCCTGATGATACCGACTGGATTTCAAATGCCAGTCTAACTTTCAAGGTGCTTGCGGGTGCAGGTGAACTGGATCGCACAGGGATTGCAAAAGCAATTGCGAATATTGCCCTCCCGATCCTGGAGCTGGCTCAGGTGTGAATCTATTGCCCTTTGCCAATATTGGATACTAAAAGGCGCACATTATTCAGAATAATAAGAAAGCACATGATGATCTAAAGGATACTATCAAGTATCTCGATGAAACACTTAGCTATGTGTCTGAGGAGATCAAGCTCCTTCAGGATGGTCAATCTTTGACCGACAACCCAACAGCCTCCACGCACCCGCTGGGACGTCTACAGCAAATGGGTGATGAATTCATCAGGTTTGTCATTTCGTTTGATCTTGGTATGAGTATGGAGATTAATTTCTGCCATGACCAGTCACCTGAAAGATTTAAAGGATGATCTGAACAAGATCTATGGAAAGAGAGGGATCCAGGCGAAGATCAAGAAACGATTTCAGAGCAAGGCGATTCTAGATCGTATTAACCAGCATAAAGAGTATGTTAAGGAAGCTCGAGATAAGCTTGTTGTATGTTTTTATCCTGCAACGATTGAGAAGGATACTGATATTTCTGAAGGGGAGTGCTGTGTTTTCAGCTACCAAACAGATTACTGCTATTCATAATCATCTGGTGAATATTCTTATCACAGTTATATCAATGTATACTAATACTGTCATAGTTGAGTCCTAAAATGGTTCAGCCTATCAGGTATGTCTCTGTATATTTTTAGGATATAATAGGTCTCATAATAGTCAACTGATTAGTAGTATTATGGTGTCTGCTATTCCTCCACCTTCTCCATTGATATTTGAGGGTAGAAATGAGTTAGTGCAAGAAGGGATAACCAATCTTCTTGCTGATTCTCCTGATTCTATTATCATTATGGGATTTGGAGGTATGGGCAAAACATCTTTAGCATTGAAGTTGCTGAATGATGTAGCTGTGGAAGCTAAATATGGAGCTTATAGATACTTCATTCCTTGTGATATTGTCTGTAGTGCTGAGCCTACTGTTGAGGCATTGCTGCAGACTATGTCAAAGTTGATGAAGTTGCAATTGACTGATGATGCAGTAACACAACTGCATACTATATTCAAGCCAACAATTTTGGTTTTGGATAATTTTGAAACACTTTGGGAGAATAGTAAAGATCAATATGATGTTCAGAGACTTTTGGAACAGTTGGATTCTGTGCCACAGATTATGCTGATAATTACTATGAGAGGACAAGTTCCTCCTACAGATATAAATTGGCTAGAACTTCCACATAATGGTCTGTTACCATTAGCTGAATCTGTCTCATTGAATGTATTCAATGCTATTTCAGGGTATAATGTTGATATGGAAAAAGTCAGTGAATTAGTAGGACAACTAGCAGGATGGCCATTGGCTATTATGTTAATAGCACATCAAGCTAAAACTATTTCTCCAAAAGTACTTGTTGAAAGCTGGAAGAAAGAAAAGACATTATTATTAGCAAAACCCAGAACTCAGCCTCATTGATTAACAAGTGTTGATATTTCAATCAAGATAACTCTTGAATCATCATTGATTTCTTCAAAGCCAGATGCTTTGAGGTTATTAAGTGTGATCTGTAATTTTCCAAATGGCATTCCTACATAGACTAGTCTATTGAGTAAAATGGTACCAGATCTTAGTCAAATTACTTTAATAGTGTCAAATTTATTGCAATCCAGAATTATATATGAAGATGATAAAAAAGGGTTGAGATTATTGCCACCAATTCAGGAATATCTCAAAATCTATTTTCAACAGTCAGATATATGTATAAAGGAGCAGTTCTGCACTTTTTATCTAAATGAAATTAGAAATAGACAACTGAATACATTTATTTCAAGAGAAAATACAGAATTTGGTGTCTCACATTTGAAAAATATTGAATGGCTGTTAAAGAATATACTGGATAATGCTATTGCTGAAAGAGAATTGACAATTATATATGATTTTTGCTGCTTTCAGTATTTAATTTCAGATTCAGATATTTTATTACTCAAACTAATGAGAGTAATAGAGCCATTAAATCTGAAATGTTTATATGCATCAGCTTTACTATTATGGTGTTGTAGATTGATGGGATATCATCAATGGAAAATGGCAAAAAGCAAAAATAATAATGCAATACAAATATTCAAAAAAATTGGAGACACTCATGGAGTAGCACAGTGTTTGCAACACTTAGGAGATATTTTGCATATAACATGTCAATATTCAGATGCAACAAAAAAGCTTGAGCAAGCAATGCAGATGTTTGAGACTATTGGAGACACTCTTGGAGTAGCACAGTGTTTGCACAGATTAGAAAAGATTTTACTCATGATATATCAATATTCAGATGCAATAAACAAGCTTAAGCAAGCAATGCAGATGTTTGAGACTATTGGAAACACCCATAGAACAGCACACTGTTTGCAAACCTTAGAAGAGATTTTGCTCATAAGATATCAATATTTAGATGCAACAAAAAAGCTTCAGCAAGCTTAATGAAGAGCCTGAATATAGTCTATATTTAAGTAGTCAATTTCCATTCAAAAGATATGCATTATAACAACAGTGTCTCAGCATCTGTTGATAAGTCTTTAGACTCTATACACTCAGAATTTACAGATTCCACTACTATTTTGCATATGTATCTAACAGACTTGCATCAAATATAATATTTTTGATTCTGACTTTATGCCAGTAGCTCTCATATATTATTTGTAAATACTAGCAGAGACACTGATTGTAGATTATACTAATCTGATATAAGAAAATTTCTTATTGCAGTCAATAATCATAAATACTACATAATGTAATGATTATTCTAGAGATAATATTCATGACTTGTAAATTTGCTATAGAAGCAGAGTTATTGAGACTTGCAATTATCTTTCTAAGGCTCTTATCTCACCAAGTCTACTTTGCTTTTCAGCTAAGATATTTATCTCTATTCAATAGATGCATATCTTTCATCTGCTGATGAGCTTTTAGGCTCTGTATACTCAGAATTCATAGCTTTATATATTATTCAACAATGCTGTCTATTATTTTAAAAGTTGAAGAGATGACAAAAGATAGAAAATAGAGAAATAATTTGAAGATAAAATAGTTCTTTCTATAGGTGCTTGAGTTTATAGAAATATTCAAAAGATCTGATTCAAAAATTGCATCAAAGAATAGTATTGACAGAACTCTGAGCAAATAGCTGTTGCCAATCTAATAAATGTCATTGTTAGACCTATTTTCTATCTTGACAAGCTATAATTTTTATCTATAATTTGTTATAATTTTAATCTCTAATTATAATCTGCTGATGCTTAGAAAAGCCTAATGAAATCCTGACTCATTTGGCTTCAGCTATAGAGAAACATCATCAGAGCCATATGAAACCATGGATGATACATGTATGATAACACTATGCTGTGTCTGACTTATCATCTCACAGCACTCAGCCAGTAATGGCATGATGGTCACACAATAGGACTATGCAATAATGCAATAATAATAGCAAGACTGACTGCAACTCATGCCCAACTCACTGTGCTGCACCATAGTTTTGTGAGTACCACTGGAATTGTCAATCAGCATCTGTGAGAACAAGTAGAAAAAAACTTTACCTCAGTGTATTTCTTTTTCTCAGCAAAACCCACAGACTCCTCACACCACTCATATGTTAGGTGTACAACCAAATTCAAGTAATACTCTTTGATATTGTCAAATATGCAGCAGCACTTGACACAATAGAATTCAGTGTGCATAGCTTTGCAATGTTATGCAAAGGATAAACAACATGAATTAAATAAAGTAAATAGTATATTAAAGTGAATGCTACATCATTCTCAAAACCCAGAATGTCAGAACAGAAATCACAGATTGGATAGTGAAGGGAGTCCTTGAGGTGCTGGGGAAGCTTATGTTCATACAGTGTGATCTTGCAGATAGAGTATATAATATGAGAGTAGGCATTATCATGGTGCTAAGAGAGAGATATAAGTTGAATACTCTGAGTCAGAGATGATGAAACTGACAGTATCACATAGAGCCTGGTCTTGGAATCCTCAACCACATATTAAACAGTTTGGATGGTTCAGTGAGCTGTGATAGTGCTCTTTGAGGTCTATTTGAGACTTGAAAGTGTATTTGTAGGATTTGAAGATGCAGGTTTTGCAAGAAAAACCTTGGCTGTGATATAGTAGATAGTGATACATGGTAGAGCAGAAGAGAGAGAATAGCTTGCCATTTGATAGTTTATATGAAGAAGAGAAAGATCATGCTGAGTCAAGGTGATCTTCATTTCTATAAATGTGTATTAATACTACAATGTTAGTATAATAGGATTATATGAGCTGTGTTCTGAATGAACTGCAGGTCATAGATAGACTGCACAGATGAAATAAAGATCTGTCCATTCAAGCCAATATTGCTTTGGCATAGACATACTCATTTTGTTCAACTTACTCATCAATTTTTTAGGTGTTTCAGTGAGGGAAATGTGAGAACAGCCAACACACACATGGTATCTACAGCCAAATATTTGATGTGATCATGCTAGATAGATGATTGTAGAGAGCCATTATCCAAACCATAATATTGCAAGTAGCACTTGACAAGAGCAGAAAACTTAAAGATAGTTCTTAGAGCATCTGAGTGATTGACATATCCCACAAAATGAGTGACATGGTTTTCAGTCAATATTAGTTCAGAAAACATTAGTCTATCAAGGGATATTTTTTGTAGAGATGGGACATTGGAAAACAAGTGTCTCCACTCAACACTATTAGAGTTATGGCAGCAATAGGTATACAAATGGATTTGAGCCTTTTTAAAAAGGGCTATTTTCCCATATAGAGCAGAAAAATGCTTAAGGAATTCCATTGGTATTATAAAACACATAAATTTTCACTGTGGTGATACTAGATCCACTCATTACATGGATCAAACTCATGATAAACTAGTGCTGTATTGTATTTATACAGTCATGCTAGAGTCCACTTCTATGCTTGGTTTCAGTGAATCAAGGTATTTGCAACTAGACTTAAGAGAGGAGAGTAGTATGAATAAACTTTAGCTTGAAGCTGGAGCTACTACAGCAAGAGCTATGCTACTTATATATGTTTTCAGGTATAATAAATATAGTCCTACTTATTATGATCATTTGTGGATTTTGTTAGGTCCAAGCATCATGTGAGCTGATCCATGTGATAAACAGCTATTCCTTCACACTTCAAGGGATCAGCTGAGTCCACTGAATGTGTATTTTGCTTGGTGTGACTCAAGGTCAGACATAGACTCAAGGTAGAATAGTAGTTATAAACTTTAGCTCAAAGCTGAGGTTTAAGCAGCTAGAGTGAACTTCTTATATACTGTACATGGTCTGCTAATAATACTATGCCCTTATTGTGGGTCTCTCTATCCATTGTGCTCTTTGTCCTTGAGTGTCGTTACCATACATAAAAGGTATTGTGTGCTGTCAGTCATTGTCATTGGAACTGATATGCTTGGTCTGTTGCACTGACTAAGCTTTGTCCTGTGAGTGTCATGTGCAGACACCTAGACACAAATATGGGCTTTTTTAGAAGAGGAAGAAGAAAATATGTAGAAAATCATAACATTACCCTCCTGTTAAGACCATTGTCTTGATAGCTTAATTTAGGGATAGTTTATAGTCATGTATGGTGGTGTTGGCATTCATATACTTTTCATTGATCCACTGGTTGGATTCTGGCCTGTATCCTTTCCAGCTGACCAGGTAGTCAACTGTTGTTGTCATTCCCCCTCCTTTTGTCTTGACTTTATGAAGTTTGTGGTTTAATACCTGCTCAATTTTGTAGTGTTCTTTATCATCAATGAGATCAGGCAGTGGAGGTGGTGGTTGTTGTTGATTTGGAAAGGCAGGTGCAATGTATGGGGTCAACAGTGATTTATTGAAAGTGTCATGAATTTTCCAGATAGGAGGTAATCAGATTTTATAAGCACTGGCCCCTACTTTGGAGATGACCAAGAAGAGGCTGGTGCATTTGTCCAAGAGTTTCTGTTTTAGGCAAGAAAGATGAAGGTTTGTCATATCTAGCCAGACCTTATCATTGGCTTGGTACTCATGTGAGAGGCAGTGGTGTCTATCATATTGTGCCTTTATGGCAGTAGACACTTTGTCCAGGGCTTTCTTGGTCTCATCATGGATTTTTGCTATTGTGGCAGCAAAATCCATTGATGCAGGCATCACTGTTCATCAGTGCACAGTATGGGTGACATGTGGGTGTCTACCATAGTTGATGAAAAAGGGTGTTTTACTGGTTGCAGAGTGTATTCAATTGTTATGTTGGAATGCTGCAAGGGCAAGCCATTCAACCCAGTCATCTTGTCTGTAGTTGATGAATAGTCAGAGGTATTTCTCCACTTCTTGGTTTGCTCACTCTGTTTGGCCATCAGTTTGAGAGTGGTAGGTGGTTGATGCATTTCGCTTAATGTTTAGTAGTCGATACAAGTCATCCAGAAATTTGGATATGAATTGTGGGCCTCTATCTGAGATAATGACTTGGGGCATCCCATATTTGGTGTAGACTTTGTCTCGTAAAATCTTGGCCCACCCTTCGGATGTCAACTCTATTGAACAGGTGATTGGGATAATTGCTTTTGAGAATTGGTCTACAATGATGATGATGGCATCATAGCCCTTGCAGTCCAGCAACCTGGTGATCATGTCCACTGAAATGTGGGTCCAGAGGGATGAGGGGACTTTGTTTGGATATAGCAGGGCAGCTCAGGCCTGAGTGGAAGCCTTGCCTCATTGGCAGACTTCACAGGCCTTGACATAGGCAGTAATGTCATTGCCCATTTTTGGCCACCAATACTCCTGTAAGACCAATTCTTTAGTTTTTGCAATGCCAGGGTGTCTGGCCATTGCATAATTGTGATGGGTGGCAATGATCTCCTCTCACAGATTCTGGTATCAGGAAATATAGATCCTTCTATCATAGCAGATCATTCCTCCTTCTTTCATCATCCCCCTTTTATGGTTGAGGGAAGGAGCAATCCTTTTGTCTCATTTGTGACTGTCACAGGTTGCACTCTTTATCTGTTCATGGATCTCCTCTTCTGTTGGCATTACCATGGCTCTGAAATGTTCAGGCTATAATAGAGTGACTCCTTCATTGTTGGTCCCTCTCTGGTCATGGTCTGCCCATCGACTGAGGAGATCAGCTTTTTTGTTTGCCATGCCTGCCTTATGATGAAGCATATACTGATATTGGCTGAGTTTGGTGACCTATCAGGCTTGCTGATGGTTCAGTTTCTGTGGTTGTCAGAAGTACCTGAGGTTTTGATGGTCCATCCAGATTTTGAAAATTTCAGTTGCCCCTATCAGATAATGCTGCCACTCTTCTAATGCAAGCATTATTGTGAGTAACTCCTTGTCATAGATTTCATAG